ACATAAGAAACATATTAAATCTTTGGAAGACTACTCTGCTTTCTTTCTGTGAAGTTTAATTGGCAGTGGCATTATTGATTAATATTCCTGTTGATATAAAATGGTGTGTATGTATTTATTGTTTACTAACTGCATGGAAAGATTCATATATAGTACAAATAATCCACTATTAGTATGGAGAATGAAGATTTTGCTATACATTTCCACTCTGAATCTCTAGTTCCACCTAATGTCTGCAGTTAGGTAGTGCAGGGCCTGTGACCATGAAATATAAAAAATAAATAATTCACATTTTGTTTTTAATTTTATCATTCAAAGATTTTCTTTTACTACAGTAACTGTTTGTAAAATCATCATTAATGTAAAATGGAGCAAAACCTTAAATTATATACAATCATCAAACAAAATGTTGGTTATAAAACAAAGTTGAGTATCATAAAATAATTATTCGTACCATTGAATGCTAATTACATCTCTGGCCTGCAGGCAGTGGAGCAGTCAGTTCAAAGTGCTGTCTGTTATTAGTGTGTCTCTTTGAACTAGCTCAGTTATCTTTCATAGGGTCAATGTCCAGTTTGTGCCTGTCCTGCTAAGTTGCTCTGAGTCGGTCAGGTTTGTTTCACTGCAGAGGGTCAGATCAGGGCTTCTGGTCATTCTTGTCACACTTTAACATGACCTTTATCCCAAGACCCTGACGCGTGGTCTCAAAGGCCTGGACTGCCTGCTCCAGAGGGAAACGGTGGGTCACGAGGGGCTTCACGTTCACTTTACCCGATGCCAACATGGCTATGGCCATCGGCCAGCTGCAACACAGCAAGAAAAACATTTTACTCAAGAGTTAAACCTCTGTGATACACAAATTACTAATTATCCTGTAAGATAACTCACAAGTGGAACTGCCTCTAAGTTTGCTTTAAACATCTGCTTATAGAACAACAATTAATGGATATCTTCTTACGTATTGCAGTAGCGGAAAACCCCTCTGATGTCCACTTCTCTTACAGCAGCATTGATCAGAGGAACAGTGGCCATCTCAGAACCAAGACCCACCAGCACCACCACGCCACCTGAACGTGTCGCCTGACAGAAAATAAATAAATAAATTATAACCTGGATTATTTTATCTGCAGATACTGAAACTTTTTGGCATTTATGCTTCACAGTGAGCAGAGTATAATATAAATAACAAGCAGATTTTTTACTTAAGTTAAAACAGCAATACCACAAACTAAAAGTATCACAAGTACCATACTATTAAATATTAGAATATTATGTATTAACATGCAAGCAGTGTGTTACTGTTGTAGCCAGTCGAGGTGGAGCCAATTTTAACTATTTTATAGACTGTTGGGTAGTTTAATCTATAACATAATCTGTGCAACAAGTAGCTAAATCTGTCAGATAATTGTTGTAGAGTTAAAGTTGCATGTAGTAGAAATACTCAATTTAAGTACATGATCAGTAGAAATTAGTGTATTAAATATGTGACAACCTAACACTTTAAGACATACACTAATAATGTGATTATAAACACGTTTTGAAGCTTGAAAGGAGCTTTGTGTGTCATAATGTGTGTTATGCACATTGAATGCAAAATTGTAAGTACAGTTTCTGAGTAAATGTACTATTGTCTTAGTGCAGATCTACTTTATAATTCTGAATACATCTTTAAATGTTCTTTACTGAGGTTAGTCACATACATAGATGGCAGTTTGAATGCTGCTCTCAACGCCAGTACATTCAATAGTAATGTGAGGCTGAGCACCCAGCATGTCCTCTACACTCTTGGCCAGCTGCTGGGGTCCATTTTCTCTCTTCACTGTCAGCTGGAAGTCTGCACCCAACTCCTTGGCCATTGTCAGGCGCTCTGTGGACAGATCTGAACACAGCAAAGGTGGATTTGTGAACAAAAGTTTAAAAAAAAGAATGAACTCAAGCTGCTGCCAGAAGTCATTTAAATTGAGATTAGAGCTGCACAGTATGTTAAAAAAAAAACTATTGTATTGTAATTACTTTGACAGATATTGCAATATGATTCACAATTTAATTTTCACTGAGAAAAACAACTAAAATGTGACCCAAAATTTTTTTTTTTCTTACATCTGGAAAACAAGATTTGTAGGCCAGATCAGGATATTGCACTAGGTAATGTTGCAATTTTGATAATGTTTAGATTAATTGGGCAGCCCTAGTTGAGACGTTTATAAACTGTGTGTTACCGGTGATGACGACCTGCGAGGCCCCCATTGCCTTGGCAACAAGCAAACAGACCAATCCAATAGGGCCTGTGGAAAGAGAGGAAATAAAGAGTCTGTAGAGTGTTTTAAATATCTGACAACCTAACACTTGTGATTATTAACATGTTTTAAAGCTTGAAAAGAGCTTCATTATATGTCATGTCTCATAATATTCATTAGCTTGTTTTCATTACATATAGTAAAGGATTTGTTAAATATTAAGTCTCAAGGTGCTTAATATTTATAAGGTGCGCTAAGGTTCAGCAGTTTTTCCCAGACTGAAGTTTTGTTGAGTCAGTATGATTCTCACTTTTGTGACTACACCGAGTGTTATATTAGATTCCTTACTTGCAGCGGCATGCCACTCAAATACAGTACCCTGTTTATATTAGTTTGCAGCATGCCCCGAAATGCAGCCTGTAGTGTCTTGTTGATGGAATATTCCAACAAAAGTCTTGTGCTATTGTGTGAGTTTAATAGTTTTGGCTCATTTTTACCTGCACCACAGATGAGCACGGTGCTGCCGAGGGTCACGCCGCCTCTGCGACAGGCGTGGATCCCCACAGACAGAGGCTCAATTAGAGCTCCCTCCTCAAATGTCACATTATCAGGCAGCCTTGATTGTTGGGGGAAAAAAAGTCACAGAGAGAGAAAAGAAGAAGAAAGACAGAAAAGGATATATGCAAAGGTTAGGCAAGAGAGTCAGTTGGCAGTCAGAGATCAGACAGTTGTTAGGTAATCTCTGGTGCAAAGCCATGAAATCCTGTTACTTGTAACAGAAGTTGGCACTGTGCTTGTAGTATTGGCACAGATTTCCATCGTCGGGGGGTGTGGCACAGAAGAAGATGGTAGGAGACAAGTTATATCGTCCGTTTTTGAAGAACTCGTCCATCTCGCGTGGCACACCTGGCTCAATGGCCACCCTGTCACCTAAAAAACAAAAAGAAGAAAACACAAGGTGAAGTTTACAGCCCTGGATGAGTTTAAACAGGTAACTCCTTCGCAGTGTGGCTGAGTAAGACTGAGTAGGACTAAGTGACGCCTTGCATCAAAATGATGCGCTGTGAATGCATATATTGAAATACATATATGGTTCTGCAGGTACAGTTCGTAAAATAACCAGAGTTGACATAATATACCCTTTCTGAATTAGAAAATAAAAATGGTTGAAATGTCAAAGCGTGTCAACTTCAACAGAGTGGCAGATTTCTGAAGTGCACGCTGCATGACTCACTGCTCTTCACTGCCCTGAGACACAAACACCACTCACCCACTTACCTTCTTTAAGGTGCTTGACTGCTGATCCGACCTTCACCACCCGCCCTGATGCCTCGTGCCCCAGCACCATTGGTTTTGTGACCACGAAGTCCCCAATCCGGCCATGCTGCCAGTAGTGAACATCTGATCCACAGATTCCAACAGAGTGCATCTGGAGCAAAACCTCTGGGTACAAAACATGCCGTATAAGACAGGGACACAGTGAGGATGGTGCAGTACTGACTGATGCAGTAAGAGGGTATGCATTGTGTCACCTAGCTGCAAGAAGACACTACAGAGCCTGATTCCAGATGTCTGAATCATTTATTACATCTTAAATGATTTGTTCAGCATATGAATGAGACAAAAAAAAGGCAATTCAGTCTAATTTCTAAGCCAACTACTGACCAGATGGAAATGAAAATCTGTTACAAATATCAATGCAGTAAAACACAAGCTGACTCAAAGATCATTTATTTACAAAGATATACTTCTATAGGAAAATAAATGGAGCTGAAGCATTTTGAAACTAAGAAAGTTAAGTGGATTGATACATTGCATTGAATTAAACATTACCTTTAAATGATTAAAAGCTTAAATAACGCCCCCACATATTGTGGAAAGCTTGTTTAAGTGGCTTAAAAACTATTTATTATGTCACACTGTACCATTAGGTCCGGGCTCCGGGACGGGACGCTTTTCCTGTAAACAAAATGCAAAAAGTTTGCAGTCAGTTTAATTCACAAAGATTGCAACTAATCGTCCCATGCAAATGGTAACATGTTTGTGGTCGGTCTCCTACCAGACGGAGGTCTCCCTGGGCGTGCAGAACCACGGACAGATTTCCCTGCGCCATGACAGATGTAACGATGAGCTGAAAACACGGTGGAGAGGAGAGAGTCCGCGTCCAAACACTAATCTCAGACCCGTTTCTTACTCTGTCAGTGTCAAAGTACAGAAAGCACTCGCTGCAAGCTTCACCTTCCTGATACTGGGGCCGGTACCAAAACAAAGCATGTGATTGGCTGAACACCCGCGGAACAGTCCACTTTGTAGGGGTGACCGAGGGGAAGACCCAACACGGCGACCACGCAAAATAAATAAATAAATAAGTATACGGCACTCATTACATTACTTGTATCCCGTACTATTAGTCTATATTATCGTGAATTGTGTTTACATTATGTTGTTATTTATTATAAGTTGTAATTAGCAAGGAAACCCTTCAACTTCCGAAAGTCCAGTACGATGAGTAGAAACCAGGCTCTTTATACTGAGAGTAACCTGGACACAGTTTGAGTTTGTTGTTAAATAAGTACACATTTTATCAAGTTGAAACTGATTTAAATGAAGTCCCTGATATGTTTTTGTATGAATTGTACAGCATTATGATATTTCTCAAGATTATGTAACACATGAAAGGTTAGGGAATATGTTAGGAGGATAAAACACTTAGAACAATTAAACAATTTGGACAAATTTACAAAATGAGATTAGCGTTAGTTATGTTATACCATTTTATTTTATGTATTCATCTACACTACGTACACACATGCAGGTAGATAATGTCAACATTTAAAAAACAAACAACTCATCTGCCAGTAAAATGAACGTGTTTTTCTCTTCATGCATGTTTGCTTATGTGTGTGGCAAACAGCAATGGGCTTTACACTTGGTGCATCGGAAACACACGGGATGGAAATCACACAAATCACCAGAGTACTTCTGCAGGTTGTCCATGTTGGTGTACCCTGTAGTGAATATAACAACAGAAAAAACATAGAAGAAACTTCTTCCATCAACTGTTTCATAATCTAAATGTATTAACTATCGATTCATCTGTAAATGATTTTCTCAATTAACCGATTAGTCGCTTGGTCCATAAAATGTCAGAAAAGATATAAAGATGTGATTCAAAACTCAAGGTAACGATGCTCAAATGTCTTGTTTTGTCCACAACCAAAAGATGTTGAGTTTACTGTCACGGAAGACTAATGAAACCAGAAAATATTCACATCTGAGCAGCTAAAAAAAGAGAGAATTTGGAAAAAAAATGTATCAAAATAGTTGGCAATTACTTTAATAGTTGACAAGTAATTGATTAACTGTTGCAGCTCCACACCAGACCTTCAATACACGTCAGTTATGTATTATTATCTTATTAGAAACAAGTACAGACATTTTCTCAAAGATCTTACAGTAAATGATAATAAATGTTTTTACCTGTAAACATGTTACTAACTGGATAATCCTGCAAATGACCACACAGAGAGGCGTCACTTTCTGATGAGTCTGTGTCAGGTGGTTCAGAACTGCCAAAAGAGTAAACAGGGACTAAATTAGTTTACTGGACAGTTTGCAATCTATTGAATTCCACTTCCAAATATTTACAGTGTAAACTTAACATACTTGCTAACGCTGACTCCTTTTTCACTGTGCTCATCTTCTGTCTGGCAACTGAAACTCTTATAGGAACCCTGTAAAAGTCCAGTTAAGGTGATTAAAGTAATTTACATGATCTTCTTTTGTGTAAATTCTGTATCGTGGTGTATTTGTACTTGTACCTGTGCTACTGACTGCTCATCGTCACACTCCCAAATCAACCTCCCAACCACATTCCTCACCTCTTAAATGATAATCAGAGAGACATGGCATGAGTGATAATTCATAAAATTGGTTTGCTTTTAAATGAATCAATCATTAGAATGATCACCAACATATTTGTGACTCTTTAACACAATAGTTCAACCAAACTGGTCCCTTTAAATGGTTTTAAGAGACCCAAAGAGGTAAAAGCTTTCCAGTATTTAACAGTAAAAAAAAATGTATTTTCTCATTTCCTGTCTTGTTAATCATCATGCAACCCCTCAGACTTATCTTGGGACCTCACTGTTTCAGTATGTTTAGTTTACAGCGAATCAATAAACATATAGTAGCACTCACCATCCTGTACTGAGGCTGGAGGTAGCACATAATGACCAATGCACACAGACTTTACACTCTGGCGCTTCTCACAGGCGGACAGAAACAAGCTGTGAAAAACCACCACCTTGTTCCAAAGGTAATCTCTGCTCTCAAATATCCTGAAAAACAGAACTACAATTATCACTTTGAGGGGATTATAGAAAAAAGTGACTTGATCTAGGTGATTAACCTGCAGCTCTTCATCAGGCTCACCTCAGAGTATCAGGACATGAAGCATCCTCACTGAAAAGGTAATCTGCTGTTCTCCAACCAGTAATGGACCCACCCTCCAATACTACAGGAAACATATATTATGACCAAAAGCTCAAAAGTGTAGGTCCAATTTAAATCCAGATTTGTGGCAGTATTTTTCCTTTTCCTCCTTTTATAACACAAGTCTTTGTTTAGTGAGTTATGTTAACCTGATCAAATGTTAGTGGTAGCATGACTGTGATAATGTGTCTTAGCTTAGCTATTACAGAAGCATGTAAAATAAGAGGTAACTTACTCCAAAAGTTGTGACATGCCTGAGGCACGCTGCTTGAAAACCAGGCAGACTTCTTCCTAAACATAATGTCACTACAGTCCTCGTTAGCCCATTAATGTTAGTTTCAGTTAGTAAACTCGTAATAAATCCTCTTCAGCTTCCTGTCGTTGTCTTTGTCTGTCTTTTGTTTTTCTCAAAACCTAGCCAACTCTTCCACTGAACCGTAGACATATATAACGCTATGTAAGTTATATATTTTATGTATAGTTGTCTATGAACAGGTGCTTTGTCCTTTGGCGCTCAAACGGCTCTGCTGCATTTAAATGCTGTCGAAAACTGTCGGAAATTATGGAATCCGGAGAAACGGATGACGAACCAAACTGGTAAGGTAGGCCTGTTTGTGCTTATTGTTTAATGTTTCGTTTTTTATCCGTTTCTTTTTAAACCAGTAAAATATAAGTACTTAAAATCACAACCACCGAAATAAATTTTGCAATTTGCCCAGCAGTTTGCTAGATAACTGGTTACAGTGTTTTCCCTTGGACACTGGACACAACTGGGTCACTCATTGTATCCTGCATAGCTGCATTTACGATATCAGCACACCTGACTTTATGAGTGAAAATATTCATTCACTGTGACCTTCTCAGACAATGGCCCCTGTGGACGGTGAGGGATCCAACTTGACAGCAAGAAACATTGTGAGCAGACCTGCTCCTGAACTGTCACACACAAAGGTTTCAGAAAGAACTTGATGTCCTCAAGCCAAGGTATTTCCTATCTCATATACTCCAATCAGCTATAATATTATGACCACTGACAGGTGAAGTGAATAACACTGATTATCTCGTTATCATGGCACCTGTCAGGCCCACTAGGGGGCCCAGGTGGTCATAATGTTATGGCCGATCAGTGTAAGGCATGTTTTATTCTCAAAGGTCATATGAGGAAATTCTAGTGTTTGACGGCTGCAAGGAGATCCTTTTTTAGATTTTCCAGAGCGTCCAGAATATTTATTAGCACCTCCACCTGGTGACATGAGAATATGATGAAAAATATTATCTATAACTGACATGAACACTTAAAACATAAAATAATGACAGCTTCAGAGGCTGTTTGTCAGTCTATTTTGAAAGGTTACATGTACTGTATTTCGGCTAATACCTCTCAATAACTATTCAACCTCCTGACTGAATACTGTGTAATGTGCCTGTCCTGTTTTCACATTGATGACGTTACTAAGGATGTTCCTCAGAGACCCATTGTGGGCCCTGTTCTGGTCACAGTATGTAGAGATCATATACCCAGCCTCTTTCTTGCATGTTTCAGAGACATACATTTAATTCCTCCTGTGACCAGTTTTAAAATTGAGTGGGTGAGAAATGTACTATATATATAGACAAATGTGGGATTATCAATTGGAATATAATTGAGCAACAAAAGTCCAAAACACATTCCCTTGTTCAGTGTTTTGATGATGGTGGAGAGTGCAGTCTAACATGTTGGTCCAAAAGCTCCCATAGGTGTTTAATTGGGTTGAGATATGGTGATTATGAAGGCCATAGCAAATTATTCACATCAATCTAATTCTAATCCGACCAGTTATTGTCCCTGCTTGGCCCGTGTGGAAGCATCTGCCTGTTTTTATCTTACTCTTTATTGAGGTTTTTCCTACGTCATTCATCTGAGGTACCATCAGCAGGTTGTGTTTTGTAGTGCTACATCATTTCACCACCAGGTGGCAATAGTTTGTAACATATACACTTGATCCCCAATGGTCCATTTCATTCGGTTTAGTCCAACGATATATTTAAAGTCAAAATCGATCAGGCTGTTATGACTTTGAGGTTTTTGTTTAATTTCATTAGTGCAGCTGCTATTGAATAACCCTCCACAGGAGGTGTAGTGCCATATCTTCTCAACACAACTACCTTTAGAAAGCAAAGCTATATTGACTTTGTGATATTGAGCTTATGACTGAGTGACTGGGACTGAACAATGGTGCAGCTTTCAGTTGATGGCATTGCACAAGAGCTTTGATTCATACACACCTGGTGAAATTCAGTCTTTTACAGATAGAAAGCTTATAAAACATTTCATTTCAGCTGTATTATGTTGTCAAATCTCACAATAACATCTAGGTCTGTGTACTGGCTGGTCGATTCGCTCACATATTGGACAGCAGTTTTTGGCTGTATGTAAACATCAGCATCTCTGCTTTATGTTGTATAACGTCCTCCATGGGGTTGTCTGCAGGTCAGGCCCTTATTGCTATCACACAGACACACACACACAGAGCCCAATCTTGTTTATGAAGCCCAATAATGTCATGTAACCTTGTGTTTTATAACAGCGGCTGCCTATTAAGGAAGATATTGCTGTACAGCAGTATTACTAGTATAAGTGATGGGCTATGCTTGTTTGAACTCTGAGAAACCAGAGAGCCTATCACTCTGTCACTAAAAGGCATGGCATAGGTTGTATTTCAGGTTATCAGAGGCCTTGGTAATTGCTTGGAAGACAACTGAGCACACCTACTGCCTGTCCATGCGCAGGCACTTGGCTCTGTGTATTTCCTGCCGGTGTGACAGGGTGGACATACAGGCAGAAAGGCAGAGACTCTGTGTAGATTACTGCATGCATGTTTGTAATGTTTTGCTCAGCTCGCCTACATATACTGACATTCCTCCACTCCATACAGTGGCTGGTTGAGGGGGGTTCAAAGCAGGGATATCTCTGTTGCCATGACAACAGCGAAGCCCCACCCTGTTTCTTATTACCCAACCCCCAAACATGCTCCGTTCACAACAAAGCACTGGAAAGAGGGGCTGGTTGGTGGTACATGCACTGAGGTTTAACTTGAGCAGAAGAACAGGAGGCAAAATGAATCTGTTGTTGATTGACCTTAGCAGTCGACACCTTTGTTATTATAATAATGTGACAAAATCAAAATTGTTATAGGTTATCTGTTTATTTTACTTGAACAAAAAGCAGTATAAAAATGCTGGAATATATTGTTCTTGGAAATCCTTGTGTTCAGTTACTTTCTAATGCAAATGTTTACTGAAACATTAGAATGTATCTCTTCCAACTAGTCAGTTCAATGTTTAATGGAGTGACATAAAATGAATCATAAAATTAAAGATTATTGTTTAAGCCGTTTGTCAAGCGAAATTGCCAAACATTCTCTGGATCCAGCCTGTCCATTGTAAGGATTTGATGCTTTTCTATATTTAATATCTTTGTAAATTGCATGTCTTTAGGTTGTGGACTGTTGGTGGGAAAAAATAAGCAATATAAAGATGTCACTTTGGATTAGTATGGGCATTTTCTAGTAGTAGTAGATTCCTGCAATTAAATGGAACGCTGAAACAACTAGTCAAATCTTTAATTGGTAGATGGACAGTTTTGCTCTCGTCTTAGTCTTATGAGATAATAAACAAGACATTTTATACACTAAACCATTAATCATCAGATTTCTGTAAAGAAAATAACTGTTAGCTGCAACCCTGATTAAATGTTCATGTAATAACTGGGGATGTATTATCATAGTGCAACTGTTACATTTTACATGTTTCTTGCTCTTTTCTTCTTCGACTCTGGCCTGTTGGGTGTTTGTGTGTCCTCTGATGTCCAGGAATAATTCACATAATCTGAATTATGTAAAAATTACAGGATCTGTCCCCTTCCTCCCCTTTGTTTGCCGTTGTGCTGATTTTGTCCTTTCAGCTTCCCTCCTGCTGGACAGAGTGAATGGCCTGCAGTGGCAGAGCTGGCTGCCCCGGGCTTATCCATATCCCCTCTGTCCCTCATGATATTGTCCCATTGTGTGGTAGCCTAGATTATTGTATTGCCATTGTTGTTGTATTATTGCTGTTGTTGTAGTTTGTTTTAGGGCTTCAGCTGACAATTCTTTTCTTTTTTTTCATCTGAGATCAACTGATTGATCGTTAAAACGTCTATAAAATGTCAGAAAATAGTGAAAAATTAACCAGTAGTTCTACCCAAACAACAATAACCCAAATGTATTTATTTTGGTATTGTAGAAATCTCAGAAAACAAGCAAATATTCACATTTGAGAAGCTGAAAACAGTATTTTTTTGTCATTTATGCTTTAAAAATGACTTCAATGATTAGTGGACTATCAAGTTTTTAACCAACTAATCGACTAATTGACTAATCCTTCTCTAGTATGTTGTTGTAATAGTATAGTATGAAAGCCATAATATCATTACATAGATTTGTCTCTGTTTAGATTTTTTTCACAAATGACACAGATCAGATAATCCTGATACGGAGATGCGTTTGTAGGTTTTTCTGTCTGCTTTTTTGGCCTTGTTTTGGTTTGTCTTGTACTTATTTGGTATTATTGCTATACCCCTACTATGGCTGTCTTTCAGATGGAGTGATATGTGCTACACATGTTTTAATTGGACTGTTTTGATGAAGCGAAGGCTACATTCACATAGGAATTAAAGCGGGTAGCCGACTCATCTATGTAATCTTTAATGAGACGTTCACCAGAAAGCATAAATAATGGGCAACCTGATTAAACATTGCACAGAAGAAAGATCACAAAAGCAGAAAACACAAATTCTAATGATTTCCCAACCATGTAAGGACTGTGGGGACATTTGTATGTCGTGGAGGACTGGGAGCTCTGGACTATAAAATAATGTCCCGAGCTCCCAGACAAGCTCAGTAACAACATCTTGTCTTTATGAATTGGTGCTGGCTTCAAATTTTATATATTTACTGCTTCCAGACATCACCAGATAGCCAGTCAGCATTCGTGCACAGTACTTTGTCAGAGAGATGGAGCAGTAAACCTTACTGGAGTTATATCATTGAAGAGTTATAGAAGAGTTGATTTGCTATCCGCACCAGTCTGTCACCTTAACTTGCATTCACTTTAGTTCAGTGTTAAATGAGCAGTCTATTATCTCCCCGTCTCTCTCTCTCTTTCTCTGTCTCCCTATTAAGTCTCTTTCTCTCCAGCTGAACCAACAACATCAAAGGAGTGTGCTTCAAATCGCAGGTGTTGAAGGATTAAGGCCACCGCAGGATAGGGTTTTATTCTCAGCCTCATCTTTGATGTAGTGTCTCTTTCACTCACTTGTGTTTCTAACCTGTAACATGGATTGGTAGCCCAGAGTGTCCATTGCTTAACTGAAAATATGGAGTGTCTCCATTCTCACACAGCTACATTAAGTGGATTCAATTCAAAGAGGATTCACTCAGGAACTGGTAAATATGTTCTGATTAATGTAAGTAGTTGCACAAATAAAGA